ACCACATTGCTGTGGGTCTGGAGTCACATGTAGGCCAGACCAGGCAAGGATGGCAGTTTCCTTCCCTAAAGGACATTAGTGAACCAGACAATCGGCAGTGGATTCACAGTCATCATTAGATTCCCAATTCCAGATATTTATGGAATTCAAATTCCATCATCTGCCGTGGCAGGATTTGAACCCGGATCCCCAGAACGTTATGTGGGTCTCTGGATTAACAGTCCAGCGATAATACCACTAGGCCATCACCTTCTTCTTCATTGGCTGTAAAGCCTTTTAAGACAGTGACATTGTGAAAGGCTTGCTCTAGAATATATTTCTCAGTGTTAGAGGTAGGGTCAATTGAGGCTTTCAAGAGGAAACTGGATTATTATCTGAAAAGGTAGAATGGGCAGGGTTAAGGGTTACAGGGAGAAAGCGGGGAAGTGGCACTGAGTGAGTTGCTCCTTCAGAGAGCCAGAATAGACACAATGAGCTGAATGTCCTCCTTCAGAACAGAAACTATTTTAAGTTTCTGTGAGGGTGCACTGAAGGCCTTTTCAAGACTCTACATAGATTTAGACGTACTGAAAAGAAGATCTAAGCACATCAGCCTGAAACCAGGATTAAAAGCTACAATTCAATTGCTTACTGTCAATCTACAATAGCGAAACAAAAGCAAAAACATGGTAAACACTGGAAATCCAAAATTAAAATTGAAAATGCTCTAAGTACTCAGGTTTGGCAGCATATATGGAGAAAATGAACGACAATTTATGGCAGTGTCTTTTCATCAGTGCAGTGGTACAGGGTCACCCTGAAATATGATCTCCACATTTTCTGTTTTTAAACTACAATGTGGAACTTCTAACAAACTTGTTACAAGAGACAGGATAGAATCAATAGCAATTTATTTTTAAAATCTAACTCTGAACCTCTTCCAAAAAGGTTCAGTTGGTAAATGTATTGTCAAGTTAAGGAGCAGGAGGGTCCCACATTTGATCTGTAGTCTGCACAATTACCCGAACTCATGCAAAATAGTTGTCAGGACCTCTTTTTATGGTACCACAGACACAATCCTGATCGTTAGCCACTATTGAAAAGTAGGCCTCAGTTAATAGCACACAGACTTCCAGTTGTGTAGCTTACGATCGCTCAACTGCCTAGGCTCGCACAAGAGAAAACTGACTCAGGTACAAAGGGAAGCCAGCAGTCACGGAGCTATCATGACACAGTTATAGGAGCTTCAGGGAAGGAAGGATGAAAATTGTAAAACAAAATGCTCTCCCCACACGCCCCTTTCAAAAGGATTTACCCCTCACATTCTCACTCTTTCACTGGGTGCAGGGTCCCCAGATAACACCCTCCCAAACCCAATGTAAAAGTCAGAGGCACCCCCCGACCCCTGCACCAAACCACCCCCCCAACACCGCCTGCACCGCACCTCCACCCCCCCAACACCCCCTGCACCGCACCT